GGCCAGGTGGGCCGGCTGCAGGCCGAGCTGGAGCGCAAGGCAGCCGAGCTGGAGACGGCGCGGCAGGAGAGCGCGCGGCTGGGGCGCGAGAAGGAGGAGCTGGAGGAGCGCGCGTCTGAGCTCTCGCGCCAGGTGGACGTGAGTGTGGAGCTGCTGGCCTCGCTCAAGCAGGACCTGGTGCACAAGGAACAGGAGCTGAGCCGCAAGCAGCAGTGAGTGCCCTGCAGGGCCCTGGGGTGTGTGTGTCTGCGAATGTTCCTGAGTAGTTGACTACGTGTGTCACTGTGCCGCCGCCACCATGTGAGTGTGGCTGCTTGTGGCCAAAGTATATGGGATCTGTGGCCACTGGCATGTAATGGTGGTGCGTGTGGGGCCAAGAGTGTCATGAAGGTGTGTGTTTAGGACTCTGAGTCTAGGGCGGTATGACCGTGTGCCTGTCTGAAGACGGTTTCTCCTCCGCCCTCCTAGCCAAGGCCAGCTTCTGCATTACGGCACCAGATCCTCCACCCTTTGCTTTCTCAAAGACATGGCTCAATTCTCCCCTCTCCTTGGTCCTCACCAGGTTTCCCCATCTACTGTATCATTTCTAAAAACATATCGACAGACTGTCCTTTCCCATCTGCCTTAGCCCCAAGTCACCCTTAAGCTACTGCCCTTTCTCTCCTCTTTATAGAAAAAATCCTAGAAAATATTGTTTATAATGCTGGTCTCCAATTTCTTTCCCCCACTTTCTCTCTTGAACCCGCTCTGGTCAGGTGTCCATCTCCATCTCTATCCTCCATGCCATCAATGGCCATATTCATGTTGCCACGGCCAGCTCATCATCTTAGGTCACCCATTAGCAGCATTTAACACAGCTGCTCCTTGAAACACCTATCTTGGCTCCCACTCTCCTGGGATTTCCTTCTTTTTTTTTCTTTCTTTTTTGTTTTTTTGTTGTTGTTGTTGTTGACTTCTTCTCAGTCTTCTTTGCTGGCTTCTCCTCATTCCTCTGGTCTTTGAGTGCAGAGTTACGGATTGTATACATGTTATTTATCTGTCCCCATTGTGACATAAGGTCCATGAGGGCAGGAATTTTTCTCTGCTTTGTTCACCGCCGTAGCCCCAACACCTAGAACGGTGCCTGGTGCCCGCAGGTGCTCAATAAATGTTAAATGGATGCATGAACCACTGAGAATGCATTTGAGAGTAAATATTCACGTGACTCTTAAGTATGTTGTGTATACTTGCAACTCTTGGAGGCTGGTGCAACTGTAAGTGTGCTTCTGCACCAGAGAATGTTTCTGAAAGTGTGTGTGCGTGTGTGTGTGTGTGTGTGTGTGTTCAATGTGTTGACTGTGCCAGTGAATGCACTTGATATGAGTACATGTCCATGAGTGTGTGGGGCTGGGTTCTGGGCTATGTGGACTGTAAGTGTGTGCCTGTGAGTGTTTCTAGGGCGAGAGGGTGGCTGTGTGTGACTGAGTATGCCTATGAGTATTTCTGTGGGGAGCAGGCAGGGGTGTCTGCTTGTGTGTTTGCAGCTGGGCTGGTGGGGGCTGAGTGATCAGATACGCGCATTTCTGTGTGTGCCGTGGTGTGGGCAGTGTTCCTGGGAGTGTTCTATGTATACCCATGTGACCATGAGCAGACCCTGTGCCCATGTCTCTCCCTGCCAGTCAGGGTCTCCTCCAGAGGGTGGGTGGGCAGCCAGGCCGAGGCCCCGGGGTAAGAGACTGCTCCGGGCCCAGGGAGGTGGTGCAGATCGACCAGTTCCTGAAGGAGACGGCGGCGCGGGAGGCCAGCGCCAAGCTGCGGCTGCAGCAGTTCATCGAGGAGCTCCTGGAGCGGGCGGACCGCGCCGAGCGGCAGCTGCAGGTCATCAGCAG